GAAAGACACACATGGTAGCTACTCACTCATAAGTGGATACTAGATGAAAAGCAAAGGATAACCAGACTGCAACTCACAGCTCCAGGGAGGCTACCCAGTAAAGAGGACCCTATGAAAGACACAGGATTGCCCAACGATGAAGAAATGGATGAGATCTACATGAGCAACCTGGGGTTGAGAGGCAGTAATGGAGGGCAGGGGTCAGGAGAAAGAGAGCTTAGGGGAGCAGGAGGTCCTACCTGGATCAGGAACAGAGTGGGAGAACAAGGAAAGAGATATCATGATAAATGAAGACACCATGGGAATAGGAAGATGCAGAGTGCTAGAGAGGTCCCCAGAAACCCACATAGATGACTCCACTATAGAATACTGGCAATGGTCAAGAGGGTGCCTGAGCTGACCTACACTAGTGATGGGATGGCCAAACACCCTAGCTGTCATGATAGAACCCTCATCCAGGGACAATGGAAGCAAATGCAGAGATCCTTGGTCAATTCTCAAGTGGAGTCCCAGGAGTCCAATTGATGAGAGAGAGAGAGAGAGAGAGAGAGAGAGAGAGAGAGAGAGAGAGAGAGAGAGAGAGAGAGAGAGAGAGAGAGAGAGAGAGAGAGAAGAGATCATATGAGTGAGAGATATCGAGACCATGATTGGAAAAGTACAGAGACAACTATTCAAAATAGTGGAAACACATGAACTGTGTCCCAATAACTCAGGAGACCCCATGGAACAGGATTAGGTCCTTTAGATAAGTGAGACAGTGGTCCTCTAGATAAGTGAGACAGTTCTGTAGCTTGAACTCTTTAGGAGGACCCCAGGCAGTGGGACTGGGACCTGTCCTTAGTGCATGAGCTGGCTTTTTGGAACTTAGTGCCTGTGCTGAGACACTTAGCTCAGCCTTGGTACAGGGAGGAGGGGATTGGACCTGCCACAATTGAAGGTACCAGGCTCTGCTGACTCCCCAGGGAAGACCTTGCCTTGGAGGAGGTGGGAATGAGGGGTGTGTTGGGGGAGAAGGCTGGGAGGAGGGGGAAAGAAGACAGGGGATTCCATGGTTGATATGTAAAACAAATAGAACATCTCTTAGTAAAAAAAAATGAAAAAAAATTTAAAAAATTCATTTCTGCTGGCTCTTTTGAATTTATTGGTGTGAAACAGAGTTGTCCTATTGATTTACAGAATTTGGAAGGCATTCTTGCTGTCCATCTGCCCCTCTGTGACCAGATGAGTTTTGATCAGGCTGCTAATATTCTTCAATGATGGACAAATAATCAGTTATACAAGGGATGTTGAGAAATTGGGATATCCAGGTAAAAGAATGAAGTTAAGCCTCACCTAACAACATATACAAATCAGCTCTACATGGATCAAAGATTAGAGCTGAAGGTCATCAGACTTTTAGGAGACAGGATGAAAACATCTTGAAACTGGATTTTGAATGGTGTCTTTGTTATGATGCCAGATGCATCATATGGGCCTTTTGACTGCTTGTATGTCTCTGCACCACATGCATGTTTGGTATATGAGGGCAAGAAAAGAGGGTATTGAATTCCTTGGAACTTCAGTTACAGGCAGTAATAAGCTGCCATGTGGGTGTTGGGAATTGAACCTCTGTCCATTGAAAGAGTTACCAGGGCGCTTAATTCTTGATCTATCTCTCCAATCCCATAAACCATATTATACACACACACACACACAAAAACTACTACACACCACAAAAAAACAGTCATCAGAGAAAAGAGTCTTGTGCAAGGATATCATGCTTCAAATATCAGCATTTTGGATAAGAAACTCAATATATGGGCCACCAAGATGGCTCAGTTGTGAAGAGTGCCTGCCAAACTCCCTCCCAGTACCTACCCCTAACTGCCACACGGAAATAAATGCACAAACAAATGTGAGCCACTGAAATGGCTTAGCAGATAAAGAGCTGGTTCATCCAACCTGAGTTCAATCCCCTGTCCCTGGAGAACTGGCTCCCACAAATTGTCCACTGACCTCCACTCATGGGTGTGGAACATGCACACAAAATGAATAGATATGCAAATGTCATAAGAAACTCATTACAGGTCCTTTCTATCTATGGATTTTATATTTATGGATTGAAACCTTTGAAACAAACAACTTGAAAAAGATTCTCAACAGTGAAAAATGTATTGTTTCCTCCTATCTTTTTCCTGTACTTAACACAATAAGACTAGGGTCTATACAGTATTCATATTAGGCTTTGAAAATAATTTAAAGAAAATCTGAATGTGTCGAAAGAAGTGTAGAATAATGTGAATAATTTACTAGTTTCTGAGGGTTGACTGTGACTGACTCAGACTTTAAACTCTTAATCACTTTGCATTTCTATTTGCTATATTGACATCTATTGTTGTTATTATTGACAGGGTCTCACAATGTAATCTGAGCTGGCATTGTACTTCTATGCCTCCTGCTTCATGCTCTCTCTCCCTTTTGAGACAGGGTCTCACTATGTAGCTCTGGCTAACCTCAAACTGACTACAAAAACCAGGGTGATTGGGAACTCATAGAGATCCAACTGTCTCTGCCTCTGATGTGCTGGGTTAAAGGCATGCAGCACTCTGCTCACCTTGCTTGGTGTTGTATCATGAGATTAACATGCATCCATTACTAAGCTGGCTGTATTTGTTTCCTGAACAATGTTTTTCTCCCTGTAACTTTGACCAATTCTACATTCTGTTGATAAAGAAACTGCCCCCATCTGCAACACCTTGGAGTAAGGAGGGAACAGAGGTCACTCACCTATTATGTCCAGCTGGATGGGGTCACTCCTCTTGGAACTGACTTGATTGGATACTTCACACTGATAGTCCCCGGAATCCTCAATCCTCACAGAGACTATTTGGAGGGTGCTGTTGTTCTGGGACAGCTTCATCCTGTCTGTGATCTCAACTCTCTGACCTTTGAAGAACCAATGAATGGAAATCCCAGTGTCCTTTGACAAGCAGGTCAGGAACACAGAGATCATATCTTTGACAGTGGTGTTGGTGACTTGGATGGAGGGGGGAGTCACTGGATCTGTGGATAAATAGTGGAGGGGACCAGTTGAGAGGTCTTCACCCTCAGAGATCCTCATCCAGTTCACAGGGCCACGAGAATGAATGAGCCCTCTGCAAGATTGCATGTTTGGGTTCAAGATATGGTCTGTTAGGAGAGAGCTGCTGTGACCACATCTGTTCAAGAGACTCTTAGGAGAGAGCTGAAAATTACTCCTACCAAGATCACTCACAGTGACCCTGACTTAGGGTATTTGTGTAGATTCCACACTGAGAGCCTCTTCAGCCCAAATGTCCTGAAATCTCATGGTGGGGGGAATGTATTTCCCAATGATCTTTGTGGGGATTCTTGCTCACACTTTCTGTGAGTGTGAAGAATCAGGTCCCTCTTTTATAAAATAGCCTTCTGTTTATTTATAAGTAAATAATTTGTCATGAGGTTAAGATGGCCCAGCTAATCTTAAAGGTGTTAAAGGCTAGACCTCAAGACTGGGAGAAATCCCTAAATGAAGGATTTCTGTTTGTAGAAAAAATTGTATTTCCTGCCCCATGGATATGGATTAAATACTACAGAGAAGAAGTGAATAATCACAGTGCTGACCACAGCCTACAAGTCTAATCCTCAGTATTGATATTTTTTGAGACAGGGTCTCAGTGTATAGTTCTAGCTCACTTAGAACTTGCTATGTAGACCAGACTGGCCTCAAACTCACACTATCCACATGCCTCTCCCTCCCCAGTGCTGGCATCAAAGATGTGGGACACCACACTCAGCTATTTGTTTTTTGTTTTTTGTTTTTTGTTTTTTTTTTTTTTGAGACAGGGTTTCTCAGTATAGCTTTGGGCCTGTCCTGGATCTCGCTCTGTAGACCAGGCTGGCCTCGAACTCACAGAGACCCACCTGAGTCTGTCTCCCGAGTACTGAGATTAAGGTGTGCACCACCACTGCCGGGCAAGTATTTGTTTATTGAAGCTTCAGAATAGTAAGCAAAAGAGCATCATCAAGTCATCATCATAAGTCAGTGACTTAGTTTACCCTGGCTCAGAACAGGGCTCCCAGGTACCTTCTCCACCCACTCTTCCCATCCCATGGACTCAGAGCTGAGAAAGGAACAGACCTGGGAGCAGAGGTCTAGTCCCCATCTGTGGGGAATATTCTCCTCCAATTTGGAGAATAAGAATGTGAGCACAGTTGAAAGCCCTGGGTTTTTCTTGTAGGGCATGGAGGCCATAAAATGAAAATGGAGGGGAAAGGAAAGCTTGTGTTAGGTACAGAAAGAAATCTTGACCTCGAGGCTCTCCTAACCTCACACAACCGAGGGTTTCCAAGGCTGGGAGAACCTCCTCCTCACATTGCAAGCTCCATTTCTATTAGCCAGAAATTAGAGAACCAGGAGGCCATTAGACATAGGCATGGAACAGGAGTCTTGGGGGAAGACAGTTTTGCTTGTTCCCATAGACATGGGCTGGAAATTAAATGCTTCTGTGCCTTCCCAGAAAGCCAAAAGACTCCTCCAAACCTTGTTCTGATATTTCAGAGATACATTTACTAAGGACTGTAATTTGGTTCACTGTGGTCCTATTGACTCCAGGAAAAACGTTATAGATGAGGCAGGAATAGGATCCCAAATTATTAGTATTTGTGTTGGAGATAAAGAGCTCTTGAGAGGATGACTGGAGCTCTCCACTGACAAACCAAGAGTATTGTGGAGGTGGGTTAGCATCTGTGTGGCAGGAGAAGCTGAGGTTTGTCCTTGAATGTAAATGAATATTTGAGGGGGATATGATCAGGACATCTGGATCATCTGGAGCAAACAGAACAAAGCCACATGTGATGTCAGCAGAGGGAAGGGGAAATTCTGGTCCATAGAAGGACATAGTAGCTCTTTGAGCTGTGCTTTAACCTTAGCTAAGCAGGTCCTACCCAGAGCTGGGGTGTAGATTAGCAGAAGAGTACTCATTCAGCATGCACAAGCCCTGATCTTTCTCAAGCACAACACACAAAATCCCCACTGCACACTCTTGTGTGCACTGAGACTGAGTCTGACATGTCCCCTGTCTCCATCAATCACCCTGAGTCTCTCTAGGCAGAATTCCCTGCAACCCATTCAACCACAATGCCGGGCCTGTCCACATATGCTTGGGCTGGACTTTTACTGTTCCTTCATTAAAAGAAATTCACCTTACATTGGCTGTTCTCAATAATCCATCTCCTATGTCTCCTGACTAATTGAATGCATAAATGCTTTTGGATGTAAAGTTTTTGTAAGGGTACAAAAGTTTATATATAGATACCATTTAGGAAAGTTAAAAAATAACTTATGATATATGAATTGCCAGTTATTGGGATAGATAAATGTAACATATAAACATCTAGATATGGTATAAATGATACCCAAATCTCAGTAAATAACCTAGAGATACTGATGATGTATACCTAACTTAGAACTATGGAAAAAGTGGTTATTGAAATCTGGTATATATAGGCTTTAGATATAGACTTAGGTATGCATTAATACAGTAGTCTATAGACTTCCCCCAGAAGAGACACTGGGGCTAATAATAGGCCATAGCTCCTCCACTGTACAAGGTATAGTAATTGTCCCAGGAATGATTGATCCTGACGTTACTGGGAAAATTAAGATTATTGTAAACCTCCTACAAAAACAATTCAGATTCTACAGGGTAGTGCCTAAAGGAGCTGCCAGTTTGGATTATAGTGTTACGGTCTTCTTGGTTCAGGAAATTAAATATTACAGACCAAATAAACCCTTAAAATACAGGGAAAGAAAATAATTCACTTGCTAGACATAAGCATAGACATTTCTTACATTTTAGAAAATAATTGGCCAAGTACTTAAGACAATTATTAGTCCTTCATCTCTTATAGAACTAGGTCAAGAAATATTAGAAACAAAAGCTAAGAAATATTAAAATGGTCAGATAAAATTATGGCCTATTCTGCCCACAAGCATCCCCTTTATACCTAACACTCTGTGGGGAAGAGACATGCTGCAGTTAATTGGTGAATCATTAATCTCTGCTATGGACTAATATCAGCTCAAATGCTATAGATGAGTGTTTAAATTAAAAGAACTCAGGTAAACAAACCAAGGGCATTATTGAGCCCATTATTCCAGAAATTATAAATGACAGAAATGCGCTAGGGTATCAAAATTAATCTGAGGCACCACTGTTGACTGCTGACCCCACTACATGGAAATCTGATGCTCCTATCTGGGTTAAATAATGGACTTTGAATGCTGAGAGAATTGTAGCTGCTACTTGTCTGGTGGGAGAGAAGCTTAAAAATAGGGCATATAAAGCCTCCCACCAGCCCTTGAGTCACCCCAATACTTGTTGGTTAGAAAAAAGCAGGCTTACAGGCTGTTCCAAGACCTTAAAATTTTAAATGAACTTTATTGGCGCAAAGGGGAGCTTCACAATCTAGATTGCCATCTCCCACAGCCACCCCTAGAATCCAAAATATAATTGTCATAGACTTACAAGATTGCTTCTTCACCATTCCTCCTCACCCTAAAGATTGTCAGCATTTAAGCTTGCCTTCTAACCCTGACACAATGGAAGTCAAAAGCTGACATGCAGAGCAGGAAATATGAGTTCTGTTTACCCAGAACTCATTTATTGAGCTGAGTGCCTCATCATATATACAGATTAACTATCAGAACTATCTGTTAATTATAGTTTCCTCACAGTCCCCCAACCCAATAATGTATGTGTGTATGTATGTATATATGTGTGTATGTATGTATATATATATATATTACACAGGTGACATCATATTTATAATATACTATAGGAACTATGAGTCTATAGATTGGCAGATAAGACTATACTGGTACTTTCTAATGTCTGTCCAACAATTACAAATTCTCTCCCTCTGGAAGCTCACCCATGAGGCCTACGTCCTTATGATTTATGGCTATGAAATAAAGAAATAATATACCATTTATTCCACTGCTTTTCAATTTTAGAAAGGCCTACAGCTCATAATTGGACAAATGCCTTACATATACTTCAAGAGCTCTTAACAATTGGTGCTTAACTTTTCATATCTCCCACTACAGGCATCCCTTATTACCCATAGGCCAAGCCACAAAGTTACACTTAAGCCTTTAGAACCTTCTCACTTGTATTTGTAAAGGTCCTGATGTTTCCATAATGTCAAAAAGAGAATATGCTTACATGTTTTCACAGGATACTGACCCATCTTTATGAATCCTGGATTGGCTGGTCATGCCATATACTAGGCCGCTGCAGGAAAAAGGTGCACTAAAGCTGCCAGTCTGAATACAGGCTGCTATTTACCTCTAGATATTTAATATTGAGCTGTGACTTTAAGAACAAATTGATACAATTTCAGATCCTTTTGATGAACTCTGTTCATCAATGATATCAAAACGTATAGAAATATGATTAGAAATAATCCTGTCCTAAATGAATTTTTATTAATTTTGATCAAAAGATAATCAAGACTTGAGATATATTATAAATAAAACATTCCAGATTTCATTCTCTGACTATCCTGCTTTTTGATTAAGACTCCAAAGATTCATAATCTTGCTCTGACAAATCACCACTATTATCATATTGCTAATATGTCTAAAGATTTTGTCTTTTAAGAGAGTTCTTATAAGTTTCAGGAGATCTAAATTCACCAACACTCACATCCAAGAAGGACCAGGAGGAATGCAACCTGACTACAGTTTATATCTTCCACTTATATATTTTCTTTTTCTTCTCTAGGATGGTGAATCTTTCCCTCTCTCCCTGGCCTGATAACCCCATCTCTCATCTGCTAAAACCATGCATTTAATATTCCATATGTATACTTAAGAGAAAAAGTTTCCTCCTTAAAATCCCTAAAATGCATGTTCTAATACATATATTTGTTTCCAGCAGAAATTCTGATGATTTAAAAAGTTACACATTGTCATCCTCTGGACCACAGAAATGCTGTCTAGCTGCAGGTCTGCACCCCATCCTCCATCCTCCATCCCA